TGTAAATTACTTACTTCTGTATAATGACTTCAGAGCTCTCAGGTGGAGAATGATCCCAGGGAAAGAATAAGCCCAATCAGTGGCATGCCCAGAGTCAGCCCGTCATCTGCAATTTTAAGAAGTGATGTTCCTTTGGAATAAGGGGTGTTTGTGGTTACAGGAGAAATCAGGAGAGGGCAGCTCAAGTTGCCCATCCAAAGAGTAGGTGAGTATTTCTGCAGGAAGCAGAAAGATGGAACAGAAAAAATGCCACCCCTTTCTTTTTTTTTTTTTTTTTAAATGGAGTCTTGCTCTGTCGCCAGGCTGGAGTGCAGTGGCGCAATCTCGGCTCACTGCAACCTCTGCATCCTGGGTTCAAGCGATTCTTCTGCCTCAGCCTCCAGAGTAGCTGGGACCACAGGTGTGTGCCACCACGTCTGGCTAATTTTTGTACTTTTAGTAGAGACGGTGTTTCACCATGTTGGCCAGGATGGTCTCAATCTCTTGACCTCGTGATCCGCCCACCTCAGCCTCCCAAAGTGCTGGGATTGCAGGTGTGAGCCACCGCACCTGGCCACCATCCCTTTCTTACCCATGAGGCTTCTCCTCCGCCACCAAGCTCATCCATCAGGGTTGACACTGCTCTTGTTTGTGTCTTCACTTAGAAGAGCCTGCTAGAACGGTGGCAGATGAGTCACCTGTCACTAAAAGTAGGTGTTCTTAGCGCTGAGGAGAAAGGAAGGTGGCAGCGAATTCCTGTTGCAGTTTGCCATACGATTGAATTACCATTACTTAGTGCCCCTGGTTTTAGGTGCTCCATGTGTAAGTTTCTGCGAAAGTACAGCAGCATCCTTGGGCAACCAAGCTGGGTTCTGCTCTCAGCAAACTGAAGCAAGCCCAGGCCAGCCCAAGGGAAGATGGCTGTGGACCTGCCTTCTGTTTTATGCAGCTGAGTTTGAGGCAATTCACCTGCCCCAGAGTTAAAACAGTCCACCATACGTAATAGAGGTCTTCATAATGAAAATAAATGCCTCTCCACCAAGAGAGGAGGAAAAAAGAGATGTGCACAGTGTGATGCAGAAATACAAGGTCCTAAAGTCAAATGTGTTACAGGACATAGCGTGCAGCTGTCAGTGTGGCCGGTCTCCCGCTATGCTGGGGCTGCTCTCTGTGCTCTGACTGTAAGCTACAAGACCACATGGCTGCTGCTCCACGCTGTGAAGTTTCTTGCAGATCAAGAAATCTGAGACCTGACGTTCATGAGGAATATTTCTTGTATCCATCACAAATCAGGAGAACAACCCAGAGCGGACATCAGGCGTCTATTGGTTTTTCCTCTTTTTTTTTTTTTTTTTTTTTTTTTTTTTTTGTTTCCCAGACGGAGTCTGGCTCTGTTGCCCAGGCTGGAGTGCAATGACACGATCTCTGCTCACCACAACCTCTACATCCCAGGTTCAAGTGATTCTCCTGCCTCAGCCTCCCGAGTAGCTGGGGGTATAAGTGCACGCCACCACACCTGGCTAATTTTTTTTTTTTTTTGTATTTTTAGTAGAGACAGGGTTTCACCATGTTGGCCAGGATGGTCTCGACCTCCTGACCTCATGATCCGCCTGCCTCGGCCTCCCAAGGTCCTGGGATTACAGGTGTGAGCCACCGTGCCCAGCAGATCTTTCCTTTTGAACTACTTGTGGCCTCCAAGCAACTAAGGTTCTTATTAGAGCTGTCACCTCCCCCCCCCCCACCAAAGCATAGACAAACTGTCCTCTAAATGCATAAACTTTGTTTAAAAGGACTCGATTTTGTTTTCTGGGAAAAGCATGCTTTAATACAAACAAATTCCATGTGTAACTCAGCTTCATAAAAGAGAAGGAAGGTCTGGCTTTATTGTGGAGGGCACTATTTTAGGAAGGTACACACATGAACCCATGTTCCTCCCTTAGGGAACTTAGAGTCCACTGCACTGAGTCTCAACCATGGCTGCACACTGAAATCACGGATGCCCACTCCTACCCTAGAGGTTCTGAGTTCAATGGCCTGGGGTGTCGCATGACCAGCAAGATTTCTGAAAATCTTTCCAGGTGATTCTCCCATGCTGCCAAGATTAAGAAGCACAAGTCTAGTGTAGTCGTTCCCCAACCTAGCTGCCAATCAGAATCACCAAAAGAGATGTTTAAAATACAGGTTCCTAGGTCCCAGCCCAGACCTACACAGTCTTGGGAAGCTGCAGAGAAGGTGTGTTTTTACAGCCTCACATGTATTTCTGATTATCGACTCAGGGGACCTTCCCTGTACTGTCCTCACACATGATTGTGGTCTTGAAGCATAATGCCTATAGCCGTTTTCATGTATTCATTCTCACAGATGAAGCTGTTTTTTTACTGTTTCAAGTTTAATGGCCAAGCGTGTTTGTAATTGTGGATTTTTTGTTTTTTTTTTTTTGAGACAAGATCTCGTTCTGTCGCCCAGGCTAGAGTGCAGTGGTGCAATCTCAGCTCACTTCAACCTCCGCCTCCTGGGTTCAAGTGATTCTCATGCCTCAGCCTCCTGAATAACTGGGATTACAGGCATAAGGCACCATGCCTGGCTAATTTTTGTATTTTCAGTAGAGATGGGGGCTTGCCATGTTGGCCAGGCTGGTCTTGAATTCCTGACCTCAAGATCCGCCCACCTCAGCCTCCCAAAGTGCTGGGATTACAGGCGTGAGCCACCATGCCTGGCCTGTAATTGTTTGTAAAGAGAATTTGACACTTTTCTGAAGCCACCAACCAACCAGCAGCATTCCCCATTCTCTAAGTGCTTTTCCTTTCTGCTTTCTTGGTCATTTCTGCATTGACCCTGTTCTCGGCCTTCTTAAGTTACCTCCTTTAGTGTGGGGGATTTTCCTAGAACTCTGCAGCCAGACGTCCCCGCTGATCCACAGGTCAGCTTCTGAGGTCACCAGCAGACCAAAAATCTGAAATGGAAAATTCCAGAAATAAACAATTCCTAAGTGTCAAGTTGGTGCTCTTCTGAGTAGCTTGATAAAATCTCATGCCCTACCCCGTTCCCACTGCGGACGTGAATCATCCGGTTCTCCAGCAGTTCGGCCCCGTAGCGCTCCCCGCCGGTGAGTCACCTAGAGGCTATCGTGGTGCTTAGATCCACTGCGGTGGGATGGCGTGCTTGTGTTCCAGTCACCTTTATTTTACTTAATGATGGTCCCAAAGCACTTAGTGATGCTGGCATACTGTTATAATTGTTCTACTTTATTATTAGCTATTATCGTTAATCTCACGCTGTGCCTAATGTATAAATCAGACTTTACCATAGGTATGTATATATAGGAAGAAAAACATAGTCTATATAAGGTTTGGTACTATCCATGGTTTCAGACACCCACTGGGAGTCTTGGAATCTATTCCCCATGGATAAGCGGGGAATACTGTACAAAATCTGGCGATAAATCTGCCATGATGTTTCTTTCAAGCCACAAAGGACGCCCTCCGACATGCCTTGCTGTGGTCATTTCCTCTCAATTTCTTTCTTGTGGTCATTTCCTTTAAATTTCCTTGCTGTGGTCGTTTCCTTCCATCCAGCCCAGCCTGCACGCTAGGCAGAGCCCCATGTGGTGCACCATCAGCACGAGAGCGAGGGAGCTTGTAAATGCATGCGTTTTGTGAAAACATTATCTTCCACAGTGTCATTGAGGAAAGTTTCAAATCAGCTGTGAAAGAAAACAAAACCCACCCATCTAAGGCATTACTCATGCCTGGCTGTTCCTGGCTTGCATAAGCCTCCCTGGCTGGTCCCTTCAGGCTCTCCAGTTGAGAGCTTTCTGTGAAGTTCTTTGTATATTTTCCCGAATATGTTTATGATGGGTTCATTTGATCATCTACACTTGGAAACATTACAGATTGAGACTCAGTCACTGCCTTATTGCTGCTTTTCATCATCCCACCCACCATCCCTGGGGTCACCAGAGTAAAATGGAAGCAAACTGTATTATTTGTGAAACTGTAGCAGGAAAAAAGATCCAAGTTTCTGGAATGTGACCTGATGAAAAACTAAGAGTGCATCACATGTGGAGATAAAATGTCTCAATGTTGAAGGGATGCATTTATCTACTTAACACTCAGATGTTTTTCTGATGGAAGCTGCTTCTTATTTATATTTTCAGAAAGGCCAAACTAACCTGTTCTAAGAAACGATCTCATACTGAAAGAGGGATCTCTCTTTCCATTTCCCAATCCAAAGTAAATGCTATGACAGACCAGGAATGTAGTGGCTGTCAGCACACATCTGGGGCTGCCTGTAGCCTCCGTCCTGAAATCAGGGGATGCTGACAGGCTCATGCTGAGACACTGAATGAAGCCCTGGTTTCCCTTCTGTTGGAATTACATTACACAGAGAAATATTGATCCTGCCTACTCAAGAATGGGCTGAGTGTGGTAGCTCATGCCTGTAATCCCAACACTTAGGGAGGCTGAGGCTGACAGATCTCTTGAGCCCAAGAGTTTGAGACAAGCCTGGAAAACATGGTGAAACCTTGTCTCTACAGAAGCTGCAAGAATTAGCGGGACGATGTGGCATGCGCCTGTAGTCCTAACAATCCAGGAGTCAGAGATAAGAGGTTGGCTTGAGCCTGGGAGGTCAGAGCTACAGGGAGCTGAGATTGGGCCACTGCACTCCAGCTTGGGTGACAGAGCCCCTGTTTAACAAAAAAAAAAGAAAAAAGAAAAAATGAATTTTAAAAAACATTCATCAGGGGAAAAAATTGGTTTCTTAGCAGAAGAATACTAGCAAAACTCAAAATGAAAATGGAAATACTCTGCTGCCAATGTGAAAAGACTGAAAATCTTGGCAGAATTCTCCAGGAATCCTCTGTCCATTTCCTTCACGTTCTCATAATTATAAAGGAAAAGGAAATGGACATTGATAAAGTTCCTGCTGAATAAGAGAGTGTTTTTTTTTTTTTTTTTTTTTGGAGACAGAGTCTCACTTTGTCACCCAGGCTGGGGCGCAGTGGTGCAATCTCGGCTCACTGCAACCTCTGCCTCCTGGGTTCAAGTGATTCTTTTGCCCCAGCTTCCCAAGTAGCTGGGATTACAGGCACCAGCCACCACGCCCAGCTAATTTGTGTATTTTTAAGTAGAGGTGGGGTTTCACCATATTGGCCAGGCAGGTCTTGAACTTTTGATCCTGTGATCCACCCACCTCAGCCTCCCAAATCACGGGGATTACAGATGTGAGCCACTGCACCCGGCCCAAGAGAAGTGTTTTCTACCTCACATTTGTTGAATGCATCTCATTTAGTCATCACTCTAACCCTGCAGGGTACATGTTATTATCTCTGTTTTGTTTATTTTTTGAGGCAGGGTCTTGCTCTGTCTCCCGGGCTGGAGTGCAGTGGCACGATCTTAGCTCAGTGCAGCCTCAACCTCCTGGGCTCAAGCAGTCCTTCCACCTCAGCCTCCCAAGTAGCTAGGACTACAAGCATGTACCACCACACCCACCTAAATTTTTATTTTTTGTAGAGACAACCTCGCTTTGTTTCCCAGGCTGGTCTCAAATTACTGGCCTCAAATGGTCCTCCTGCCTCAGCCTCCCAAAATGCTGGGACTACAGGTGTAAGCCACCACACTCAGCCAATTTCTGTTTTAAAATGAGGAAACCGAGACTTGAGTTCAGTAATTGGCTGTGACTCAAAATCTTCCCTCCCCACAAATAGGGCACTACTGTCAGATATGACACAGATCACTTCCCAGGAGCCAAGGGCAAAGGGCAAGACCCCTCTTTGGGCCAAGCCGAATTCTTTAATACACAGTGAATATGGAAAAAAAGAGATGAACTTAAGGCTTGGCCCCCAAGAGTAGACATTGTGAAGAAAGACTGACACAATTAGGGGAGCAGCTGGTTATCGGAGTGAAGTGGTAGGGAGGTGTCAGATATCCGGCTCTGGCCTCTGCTTAGAGAACTGGCACAAAACCGTTAGCAGAAATGTGGAACCAGAGTGCATGCTGATTTGAGAGGGATGGGAAGCATCCCTCACAAGCTATTGAGCTGAGACTGAAGTTCAGGAAGAAGAACATACACGGATGTTTTTCTTATGCTAAGCATTACAGTCTCTCTTCTTTCCTCTCAACAATCTTTTGAAAACGTATTATCGTCATTCCCATATTCCAGATGAGGAAACTGAGGCTGACAGAGGTTAACTGCATCTTCCCAGTCCACAGTGCTAGTACAGGAAATGAGCTTTGTTGTAAACAGGCACTAAGTTACTTTTTTTGCATTTCCGTTTGTCCGTTAAATATTTTATTGCCTATTTAGATTACTGTCATTGATGCCTACAGCAGTGTTATTTATCTTTCATTGGCAATTAGGGCCTTAAATTAAATTGTTAGTCATATTTTATGCTTTTATAATGTTGTAGAGATTCTAGTTAGGGCACAGTATTCTGAAAAGGAAAGGGATTGATTTAATTTATAATGAGTAATTGTATCTAAACAGCACTATGTGTTCTGCGTTCAGATAAGCCAGAAAGCGTCTATTTATACCAAAGGAATGAACAGCAGACAACAGACATACTTAAATTGAAAACATGAGCGCATTTGAATTTTATTTTTGCATGTAGTTGTAATTGACCATTTGCTCTGCAAACAAGGCTTTGGTCCAGTTTAGGGGGAAACAAAATCATTGCACTAGTGTGGAGTATTTTCTAGAAGAAGACAATTTTAGAGACTTAGTAAACTTTCTGAACCGGTAAGAACTTGAAATGCCTCATGAAGGGAAGTGAGGCAGGGAACCTTTTAACGAGAGATTGTTCCGTTCACCATCTTTGCTGGAGCTGACTGGTGTATATGATGCAGGAAGTAACGTGGGAAAGAATTCAAGGGGAAAAATGTGGAGTTTTTCTGTTTCATTTTATTTTATTTGTTATACTTTAAGTTCTGGGGTACATGTGCAGAATGTGCAGGTTTGTTACATAGGTATCCACGGGCCATGGTGGTTTGCTGCATCCGTCCCCTGTCATCTACCTTAGTTATTTCTCCTAATGTTAGCCCTCCCCAATCCCCCCACCCCCTGCCATCCCTCCTCTAGCCCACCCTCCCCCTGACAGGCCCCAGTGTGTGATGTTCTCCTACCCCCGCCCGCCCCCCTGTGTCCCTGTGTTCTCATTGTTCAACTCCCACTTATGAGTGAGAACATTCCGTATTTGGTTTTCTGTTCCTGTGTTAGTTTGCTGAGAATGATGGTTTCCAGCTTCATCCATGTCCCTGCAAGTGATATGAACTCATCCTTTTTTATAGCTGCATAGTATTCCATGGTGTATATGTGCCACATTTTCTTTATCCAGTCTATCATTGATGGGCATTTGGGTTGGTTCCGAGTCTTAAGTATTGTAAACAGCGCCAAAATAAACATACGTGTGCATGTGTCTTTATAACTGAATGATTTATAATCCTTTGGGTATATACCCAATAATAGGATTGCTGGGTCAAATGTGGTTTTTTTTATGCAGATGAAAATAGGACCAAAGTGAAGGAGGTAGGCCCTTTCTTAGAAGATAGTCGGAACAAACACAGCCGGTATTTGTAGGTCTTGAGTATGCCAGGCTGTCATCTGACTACTTCTTATGTGTGAACTCACAGCGAGCCCGTGGGGTAGGAACTGGTATTATTCCCACTTTGGAGATGAGCAAACTGAGGCACAGAGAAATGAATTAGTTGGGGCCAGTTAGTACTTGGATCGAGGAAATTAATTAACTTCATCAGATATACACAGCTGGGGAGTAAGGGCACGTGGATTCCAACGCAGGCGGCCTAGATCCTGAGCCCGTGCTGTCTGCTGCAATAGTCATGGGAAGTAATTTGACCTGGAAAAAGATTATGATGAGAAGTAGCATTTTTTGAGGCACTACTGCCTGGCTGCGTGCTAGGCACTGCACTGTCCCATGCAATTCTCATAACAACCTCATGAGATAAGGCATATTACTATCTTCATTTTCTTTTTCTTTTTTTTTTTTTTTAAGGCCAGGTTTCACTCTTGTCCCCCAGGCTGGAGTGTAAAGAGCTACTGCAGCTCACTGAAACCTCTGCCTCCTGGGTTCAGGCGATTCTCCTGCCTCAGCCTCCCAAGTAGCTGGAATTACAGGCACCTGCCACCATGCCTGGCTAATTTTTTTTGGCATTTCTAGTAGAGATAGGGCTTTGCCATGTTGACCCGGCTGGTCTTGAACCCCTGACCTCAATTGATCTGCCCACCTTAGCCTCCCAAAGTGCTGGGATTATAGGCATGAGCCACTGTGCCTGGCCATACTATCTTTCTTTTCTTTTTTTTAGGCGGAGTTTCACTTTTGTTGCCCAGACTGGAGTTCAGTGGCACGATCTTGGCTCACCACAACCTCCACCTCCCAGGTTCAAGTGATTCTTCTGCCTCAGCCTCCCAAGTAGCAGGAATTACAGGCACACACCACCACACCAGGCCAAGTTTTTGTATTTTTAGTAGAGACAGGGTTTCTCCATGTTGGTCAGGCTGGTCTCAAACCCCCAACCTCATGCCTGTAATCCCAGCACTTTGAGAGGGATTAGCATGAGCCACCCACCGCACCCAACCTATTTTGTTAAAGAGGAAATAAAAACTTAGAAAGTTGATTGGGCCAGTTGCTGTGGCTCATACTTGTAATTCCAGCACTATGGAAAGCCAAGGTGGCAGGGTCACTTAAGCCCAGGAGTTCGAGACCAGCCTGGACAGCATAGTGAAACCCCATTTGTATAAAAAAAAATTTAAATGTAGCTAGACCTGCCACCACAAGTCTGTAGTCCCAGCTACTCAGGAGGCTGAGGCCAGAGCATCGCTTGAGCCCACAAGATCGAGGCTGCAGTAAGCTATGGTTGTGCTACTGCACTCCAGCCCAGGTGACAGAGTGAGACCCTGTGTCAAAAAAGAGAAAGTTGAAAGACTTTACTAAAGTCACCAGTTACCAAATGCCGGTCTAACATGACACTAAAGTCAGCTATGCACTCCTTGCTCAGAAGTCAGAACTGTGGTATCAAGTGTTTATGTCTCAAAATGCAAAGAGTGAGCAAGGCGTCTCTTCTCTTTAGTCTCTGACCAGTTGTTCACTATAATCTCCCTTTTCCTGCATGTCCAAGGAGTACTGCATAGATGAGGATTCCCATCTTCCCAGCCCCTAAATTTAAAAATAAATAGGCCAGGGGTGGTGGCTCACGCCTGTGATCCCAGCACTTTGGGAAGCTGAGGCCGGCGAATCACTTGAGGTCAGGAGTTTGAGACCATCCTGGCCAATATGGTGAAATCCGGTCTCTATAAAAAACACAAAAACTAGCCAGGCATGTGGCAGGTGCTTATAATCCCAGCTACTCAGGAGGCTGAGGCACGAGAATCACTTGAACCCAGGAGGCAGAGGTTGCAGTGAGCTGAGATGGCACCACTGCACTCCAGCCTGGGCGACAGAGGTAGACTCATAAATAAAAAAATAAGCTAAAAATAAAGGAATATAGAACTGCCCTCACACATCCTGCTGGATGCAGCCGATTTGACATCGTGCCTTGTTCAGAGGGTGTCGCCTACATCCAGGGAGAGCGTACATTTTTTTTATTGAATGAATACCTGATTAAGTTAATGACGCCAAACGGGGGGAGGAGGAGCAGTTTGGCTTCACAATGCCAAAGGGTTTCTGGCAGCTCATTCGGTGTTCTTAATGTCCCGTTGGCCTTGTGCTGGGCGGCATGTGAGTCCCGGGGGAGGCTGCTGTCATTACTCAGCTTTTTTATTGGAAACAGCTGCAGGTAGCGAGTCCTCCCATTGTCCATCTTGCGGGTGACTTTAAACCACTCGGAGCCATCTTGTGCCCCCCTACACTGCAGTGTCACTGTGAAGTCAGTGGAGGTAGAAAGTAGGCTTCCCACTTGCTGGGCTTTTCAAAATGAACCATTCATCTTTTGAGGGTCAGAACGCAGCCACCCATTCACCGAGTGTGAGTCATACCCCTAATTTTAAAACAAACATTGATTCCAGAGAGAATTCTTATCTTGGCTGATGTGTACTACTGATCTCCATGTCCTTCCTATGCTTGATTTAGGCTGGTTTCAACAAAATTGTTGTCTTTGTAAATCCAGGCCTCTTCCAGTAAATCCAGAGACTGCTGAAGCGTTTCCTTGAGATCGAGTATAAGACAATGTGTAATTCGTTTTGGATAATCGGGTGTGAATGTTTAGAGGCCTTCCTATATAGCATACATCTTTAACATCTCACGTAATCTATCATACTTGTACTTCCTGATACAGGAAGTAACGGGTTAATAATCCCACGTGAGAGAAAGTATGTTAGAATTGGAATCTCTAGGGGCAGATTCTTTGCAGATACACATTATTTTATGTCCCTGTGTCATGAGTTCAGTTTTTTATCATCACATCCAAAAGCTAGAAAATGATCCAGAAATCCTTTGCCTTTTAATAACCGGCTTGTAAGGAACACAAACTGCAAGAGATTGATACAGGATAAGAACAGGAACCAACAAAGGACAGCACCCTACAAGCCCAAGGGGTTGTAGACCTCAGTCTATAAGCAGCATTGGAGTTTACGGTCTAATGAGGAAGACACGTGAAAACAAAGATTGCAGCAGCCCAAAGTGGCTTTGCTGAGATTTTAGGAATGATTGCCTAAGGAGATAGCAGTCAGGGGACTCACTGTATTAGTCAGGGTTCTCTAGACAGACAGGACTAGCAGGATAGATGTATGTATGAGGGGGAGTTTATTAAGGAGTACTGACTCACATGATCACAAGGTGAAGTCCCACAGTAGGCTGTCTGCAAGCTAAGAAGCAAGGAAGCCAGTCTGAGTCCCCAAGCCTGAAAAGTAGCAAAGCCAACACTGCAGCCCTCAGCCTGTGGCCAAAGGCCCTAGATCCTAGCCAACCGCTGATGTAGATCCAAGAATCCAAAAACTGAAGAACTTCAAGTGCGATGTTCCAGGGCAGGAAGCATCCGGCACGGGAGAAAAATGAAGGCAGAAAGCCTCAGCCTGTCTAGTCCTTCTACCTTCTGCCTGATTTCATTCTAGCCTCGCTGGCAGCTGATTAGATTGTGCCCACCCAGACTGAGGGTGGGAGTTCCTCTCTCAGTCCATGACCGAAACGTTAATCTCCTTTGGCCACGCCCTCACAGACACACCCAAGAATAATACTTTGCATCCTTCAGTTCAATCAAGTTGACCCCCAATATCATCACGCCCACCATGGTGAAGGCATGCAGGGGTGGCTGGTGTTAGCCGAATTGGGGCCTCGGAGGATAGTCAGGGAAGCGATTACTAAACGGTGAGTAGATGAGAATGGTGGAGCAAGGTGCTAAGGAGGCACAGCAGAGAGGCAGAGGGTATGGGGTTAGAGTGGGGAGAGACTTACAGGAGAGACCTGAAAGAGGGTGAGGCCAGTGCTTCTTGAAGTGTGGTTCCTGGACCAGCAGCATCTGGGAACTCCAGGTGAATGGGATGCATACACTCAAGTATAAGAACCACTGCATTCGAAAACAGGTGGCCATGCATTGCGGAGGAGCTGGTGTGGAAAGTGCTCTAACAGAGCAGAGGGAACACATACCCAGAGGCCCGTAGCAGGCATATTTGAGACTTGAGCAGGACACAGACACCCACAGCCACTGATTATGAATTGTCTGTGGCTGCTCTCAGCCTGCAGAGGCAGAGCTGAGTAGTTGCCACAGAGGTGTATGGCCTGCAGAGCCACTAATTTTTACTAGGTGGTCCATCACCTGATTCAGAGGGTGGAATTGACATAACCTGGTGACAGAATCAGGGGAGAAGGGGCATACAGGGATATCAGCCAGCTTTCAATCTTCAGTGAGCAATGACATGATGGAGCAATGATGATCAACGAAGACAGTACTGCTTCTCTTTTTACAGCTCATGGTCCCTTTTGTGGATGTGAGAAAGGGTGTAAGGTTTAGCGCCCTGACATCCAGTCCTGGAATACAGGCCAATGCCAACAGGTATCTCAGAAATCCTTGTAGCTCCAAGCAGGTGAGGGGGCGGGGCCTGTGTGGTTTCCAAACAGGTATGCAGTTTGTTCATAAACACGTAAGATCATGACGTACTTATTTTTGAAAATTTTGCCTGGTGATAAAATATGCATAATATGAAATTTACCATCTTATTCATGTTTATATGTACAGTAAGCGGCACATGCTTGTTCAGCCATCACCGCCATCTCTCTCCAGAATGTTTCCATTATACCAAAGGGGAATTCTGGACCCGTTAACGCCCATCGCCCCTCCTCCCAGCTCCTGCTAACCCCTGTTCTACTCTCCGTCTCTCTGAATTCGACTCTTCTAGATTCCTCATAGAAGGGGAATCATATGATGTTGTTCTTTTGTGTCTGGCTTCTTTCACTTAGCATAATGTTTTCAGATGTATGAATGTCGTAACATTGTATCAAATTCCATTCCTCTGTAAGGAGAGGGGGATGAATAACATCCCGTCATATGGATATACCACAGTTTTAAAGTTTATTCATCTGTTGATGATCATTGGGTTGCTGATACCTTTTGGCTAGTGTGCATATGCTGCTATGAACACGGGTGTGGAATATCTAAGTCCCTGCTTTCAATGCTTTGCAGTAGATACCCAGCCATGGAACTGCTGAGTCATATGGTAATTCTATATTTGTCATTTTGAGGGACTGCCAAAATGTTTTCCATGCAGCTGCATCATTTTACGTTCCCATCAACAATGCACATAGGTTCTAGTTTCCCCATCTCCACCAACTTGCTGTTTTCCATTTTTGTTTTTGTTTTTCAAATATAATGTCCATCTTAATGATTATGAAGTGGTATCTCATTGTGGACATATCATATAATTTTAAGTATGGTTAAAGGAGGTTATAACACGATTTTTGTGTTGGTAAGAGTAGGGGAAAAGGATTGGCTCCTGTAATTAAAATCACTGGGACAGGCCAGGCACCATGGCTCACACCTGTAATCCTAGCACTTTGGGAGGCCAAGGTGGGTGGATCATCTGAGGTCAGGAGTTTGAGACCAGCCTGGCCAATATGGCGAAAACCCATCTCTACTAAAAATACAAAAAAAAAAATAATAATAATAATTAGCCGGGTGGGATGGCGGGCACCTGTAATCCCAACTACTTGGGAGGCTGACGCAGGAGAATCTCTTGAACCCTGGAGGTGGAGGTTGCAATGAGCTGAGACTGCATGATTGCACAAGCCTGGGTAACAAGAATGAAACTCTGTCTCAAAATAATAATAACAACGAGACATACTTCCAAGGACAGATGGAGTTAGGGGCTCAAAGATCCTCTATAGCAAAGGTTCTCACTTCTGGCTGCACATGAGAATCGCCTGGTGCGTTTCCCAAAATGCCAATGGTGGTCCCAGTCTCCAGGGATTCTTACTCAGTTGGTCTGGGGTAGAGCTGGACATTGGTGATAGCTTTAAAAGTTCCCTAAGTGAAGATGTGCCATCAGTGCTGATTTCGTATGCCTCAGGAGAGAGAATGTGGCGCCAGTACTTAAGATGCCAGGGTTCTGGTCTCTCAGTCAGAGCTGCTACCACTTGTACACCGTCGTTCAGCATGACCACAAACACAGCGAAACCAGTAGTGCCCCAGGAACATGTGCATCCTCCTCTGTTTTCTGGAGGAAGTATGTCCTCAAAGCTCTGGAGAGCCAAGTGCGGGAGCCGGCACCTCCATTTGGTCTGTTGGGTTGTTCAGTATTCAATGACTGTGGTAGATTTCTGGTCAGTTTCACTCAGCAGGCTGAGGATATTAAGACACCAGAAGTCATGGGGAGAAATGCCAGATACAGGTGATGGGGAGGAAGGCAGCAAATCACACTGCCATGTATGTACCTATGCAACAATCTTTCATGTTCTTCACATGTACCCCCAAACCTACAATGCAATAAAAAAATAAAAAAAAAACAGCAGAAGTTAGCTGATGTGTTTCCCCAGTGGGGGGGCTCCAACACTTTTAACTCTGTACCCCAAAAATTGATCCACTCAGTGCTTCTTACATGTGTGTTATTAGGTAGATTTCCACAGGGAGGCTTTCTTTGTGGCCCCTGGCCCTGGTTACATTACACTGGGTATTACATATTCCTGTTCCCTTCTGTACCACCCATCTGCCTGTTCCCTGGCCACAGTTTTGGGGTACACCAATTTAGATTAATGTAATTATTGTTTCACAAGGCATTCTTATCCCTGAACATTGATGGATTTTATTTAAATGTTGTTATATTTTATTACTTGGTCCATTTAAGCATATAACCATCACTAGCTATAAGAAGGTGACCAACTACAAAGTTCGAGAGAACAGTTCTTGCAACACGAATTGCAAGCTGAGGGGGTTTCTCAGATCACCCTCCTTTCTGATGATTCAGTAGAAGGACTCCCAGAACTCACTGAAAGCTGTTATACTCATAGTTACAGTTTATTACAGGGAAAGGATGCTTGGAAAGAGGGCTATAGGAAGTCTGGAGGAGTCCAGACATGGGACTTCTGTTTCCCTCTCCCCATGGAGTCATGGATGGTGTTACCTCCTCCCAGCCATAATATATGACAGTATGCATGGAGAATCACCAACCTGGGAAGATCATGTGAGCCTGAGTGTCTAGAGTTTTTATTGGAGCTCAATTGCTGCTATCCTCATGGCTGACCTCTAGTCCCTAGGCCCTCCTGGAGTTCAGGCAAATGTCATTCATTATTAGTTCCTCTGAGGTTGGAATGTATAACTCATGGCCCAAAGCCCCCATCATAAGTCACATTGTAACTCTATCCAGTGGCCAATCTCCCCAGGCAGATAAACATACTCCTATGAGACAGGACATTCCAGAAGGCTAGAGATCACCTCCCTACAGGTGGGGCAAAGGCCAGACCTTAGCTTGGGTGAGGTTAAATTCTTCACTACACACTAGTGAACCCACTACACAACCAAAGAACTAGAGCCCATGTTTCTGTATTGGGATGTGTGTGTGTTGTTTCTGCCTTTTTTTTTTTTTTTTTTGGCCATGTAATCTTAGGCAAGTGACTTACACTCTGAGCTTCAGTGTCCTTGTCTTTGAAATGGAGTGATTATATGCTGGTTGTTACTTACATATAAAGCAGTGTTGTAGTCTGCACAAAGTAAGCATCATGACTTGTCCTGCCTGCTGTGCCTTAGGGAGCCTGGGTCCCAGAATATCTTGGGATCTTTGCAGTCAAGAGCATGGCTGAATTGTGCAGTGTCTCAGTGACTGAAACCATAGAAGGGAAGCCAGTGTGTGACACCTGGAGGAACAGCTGGTTAGTTTATGAATTACCTGGAGGCACGGGCTTTCCTTTCATTCAGCCACACCAAGGACAATGAATAGTTTAAGACCTGCCCAGAGTACCTCAGTTCCCACAAGACCTTTTTCTGACTTGCTGGAGAGTTGTATGATCTCTGTTGTACACTTGGATGTCTAATGTCCTGGAAACGCAGCTCCCTGGTGGGCTGGCAGGATCCAGCCCAGGCCTCCTGGAGCGGTGGCTGGCGCTTTGCATCGTGTTGTGTGGCGAAGCTCGTGAGAGTGTGTGCGGGTAGACAGCTGGCAGCCTTCCCTGTGGGATGTGGAAGGAGGATTCTGCATTTCCCCACCATGCGTCTTGGGAATTACTCATCCAAAAAGTATTGTGGAAAAGCAGGCAGAGTGCAACACGGAGGCATTGCACTTAACCCTTCGCTGGAAATGGCCCCCTTGAGTTTAGCCTCCAGGCTTTCTGTTTATTCTGCGTGTGTGTCGAATTGCCTTCCTTCTGGTTGGTGTGTATGGGGGTCTGCACATTGGGCACTTACAAATATTATCTCATGTCTCAAGTGAAGAAAAAAAATGAGTTCTCAAACACCCATCACTTCCTCTTTTGGTATCACAGGTGTTTGAAAGAATTGATAGTTTGAAGGTGTGGCTTTGATTACATCATAGCCAGGAGAGAGGAGCAACAGGTAAGTGTGGATGGTCACTGAGAATTCATGAGGAAGCGTTCGTTGAATTAGAACTATGATGGCGACCATGTACCGAGTATGCGTTATACCAGGGACCATGCATGATCATTCCTCCCCATTTTACAGGCAGAGATTACACGTTTACACATGGTTGAAATGAAATTTTTGCCTACTGGGGCACATGTATAATTTTGAGTAAAATTGATATATGTGTGTGTGTGTGTGTGTGTGTGTGTGTGTGTGTGTGTGTGTATTTTTTTCGAGACAGAGTCTCACTCTGTCACCAGGCTGGAGTGCAGTGACGTGATCTTGGCTCACTGCAACCTCCGCCTCCCAGGTTCAAGTGATTCTCCTGCCTCAGCCTCCCATGTAGCTGGGACCACAGGTGCGCGCCACCACATCCAGATAATTTTTGTATTTTTAGTAGAGATGGGGTTTCGCCATGTTGGCCAGGATGGTCTCGGTCTCTTGACCTCATGATCCACCCACCTCAGCCTCCCACAGTACGGGGATTACAGGCGTGAGCCACCACACCTGTCCAAAATGATATTTTTAAAAATAGATAACATAGGCAGTTTGGGGTAACGTCAAGGTTTGAACCTGTGCTCTGCCTTACATCATAGCCTATTCTAACTACAGTTGTATGTCCTTAGTAGCAGTAGTAGTAATACTGTTGATCTACTATCCATCATTGTTACTACTAATAATATTCATATTTCATCTTGATATTCTAAATAGGATCATGGACGTGAGTGCTTCATGCATTCTGTAGTGAGCTATGTCACTGGTGGTAAGAAACATTTGACTGAGGGTCAAAGTGGCAGGTTCTCCTCCTCCCAGTTCTAACTGTGTTACCTTGGCCGGTACTTTTCACCTTTTCTCGTCAGTCCTCAGAACAAGATAATGAAGAGGGCCAACTTCCTCTTGCTTTGAAACAAGTTAGTCTCCACTGGGATGAGAACCACTAACTCCAGACATTGTGGCAAGCGCCTGTGTAACTGTTCCTAGCCCTCAACCAGAGCGGTGGATAGACAGAAACGTGGGTGCCCCAGGTAGCTAATCTGGCCTGCACTATGCTTTAGAACAAAAAAGTATTCGCTTATGTACTGAATCAGGAAAGGCCTTGACAGAAAGGCATTTCCAGCTTTTCTTAAAAACTCCAACTCAACCTCTGTCAGACAATTCATTTGGGACCAGCTTGGATACAGATGGTTATTTTCCATCTTGAGCCTTTCCAGGAATTCTGGTACGGGCAGGCCGCCAGCGACACTGGCCACACAGCCATGGCAGTGAGTTTCCACGTGAGCTGGCTTCAAGGGATGGCCCAGCCCAGTTGTGGCCTCGCCCCTCCTCCTTCCTCATCTGAACCCATCCCTCAGCACTCACTTGCATGAGCCATGAGCCACACAGGGAGACCCCAGCCACATGGCCGATCTCCTGATGTTTCCAGGGGTGGCAGAGCTCACTAACTTCACCCCCATGACTCTGATCTGTTCGCTAGGAATAGCAATGGCAGAAGCCAGGAATCTAAGAATTGATGAAGTCCAGCCCTCCGTGAGGTGGACAGGTAGTAGCCAAACACTGAGCCCCATTTAGGGATAAGGGAGATGGCAATTTAGCCACGTGCCAAGCAGACAGGGTCAGCAGAACAGCAGCTGGTGGAGCTGTGCATCTTGAGGAGTTCTTTCCAGCCTCCCCTTCAAAGTCCTTAATCAGAGAACGACTCCACACTGGACACAGAGCTACTCAAGCCGGAGAGCACCAAATGAGACTATTATTTGGGGTGGATTGAAATTTTTTAATCATTGCTTTAAGTATAGTGGTATTCATTGCCAAAAAAAAAAAAAAATCTATTGATGCATAGGGCCAAAAAAAAACCGCTATTATTTGTGACGCTGATCATGTAAGTAGTGGGTCCGCCTTTCTCCCGCCTTCCCTTGACCCGCTGTAATCCCAGCTGGCAGCGGTGGCAGATTCCACCCCCACCACCACCAGCAAGGTCTGGCCTCAAAGAAAAGGGAAATGTGGTGCATGCTGCTGGCTGCCACCGACAGGGGAGCCTGTGCCAGGGTGCAGGATTGAACGCGCTTCTTCTAACACTAGAGGGAGACAGCTTGTTTATTAGGCGTGTTAGTGTTCTCAGTTCTTCATGTCCGACCTGTGCAAGAGGCTCCTTCTGCAGTCTCAGCTCTCCTGTGGCCTTGATCACAATTGAGTGGTGGGTGGTCTTTAACTTGGATGCTGGGCCTGAGGGCCCCTGCTCGCTTGCCTGGGAAATACAAACCTCCTGACCTCTCTTGCTTGATCACTGATCAGCCTCTTCCTCACTGAAAGTCTCACCAGCCGCAGTCCTTGGTTAGTCTCCATGTTGTGCACAGGTGCCCTAGCCATCTTTCCCCCTGCTTACTGCATTCTGTCCCTTTTCTACATGAAAAATAAATAGGCACATTTGCTATGAGGCTGCCGTCACCCCAGCGCGTCCCAGGATGTGAGTGTAACCTGCCGTCACGGTTGGGTGGACCGGGAAAGGGATTTTCAGCACTAATTCTACTTCTGACTATGTGGCCTTGGGAAAGCCTCAGTGTCCTCATCTGGAAAATGGAGATCATAATACACACTTCCCAAATTAGTTGTGAGGAGTAAGTGAGATAGTTAAGTCAGGTTCTTGGCTTGTACAATAATAAATGATCAACAAAGGGAAGATAGTTGCATGAGTTTCTTAGGGCTACCATGATAAATTACCAAAAAAATGTGTTGGCTTAAAACAGAGAAGTTGGCTGGGCTCAGTGGCTCACGCCTGTAATCCCAGCACTTGGGAGGCTGAGGTGGGCGGATCACCTGAGGTCGGGAGTTAGAGACCAGCCTGACCAATATGAAGACACCCCGTCTCTACTAAAAATACAAAGTTAGCTGGGCGTGGTGGCGCATGCCTGTAATCCTGGCTACTCAGGAGGCTGAGGCAGGAGAATTGCTTAAACCCAGGAGGCAGGAGTTTGCGATGAGCCGAGATCATACCATTGCACTCTAGACGGGGCAACAAGAGCAAGACTCCATCTCAAAGAAAAAAAAAGGTATTCTCTCACATTTCTGGAGGCTTGAAGTCTAAAATTCAGGTGCTGGTGAGGGCATGCTTCCTTCAAAGGCTCCAGGGGAGAATCTCTCCGTGCTTCTTCCTGCTTCTGACGGCTTCAGGTGGTCCTTGGCTTGGGACTGCGTCATCCCAGGCTCTCTGCCTCTGCCTCCATAGGGCCTTCA